GCTGGGGGAGATTCGGGGGCTGGATCGGAGGGGCTGGGAGAGATCCGGGAGCTGGATCGGAGGGGCTGGGGGAGATTCGGGGGCTGGATCGGAGGGGCTGGGAGAGATCCGGGAGCTGGATCGGAGGGGCTGGGGGAGATTCGGGGGCTGGATCGGAGGGGCTGGGGGAGATTCGGGGGCTGGATCGGAGGGGCTGGGGGAGATTCGGGGGCTGGATTGGAGGGGCTGGGAGAGATCCGGGGGTTGGATCAGCACTGGCCCCAGGGAGCAGGGGGAAGTGACTCGGCCAGACGGGCACCCGGGTGGGGTTCGCTGCGGTTAGCCCTGTGGCTCTGGGACTGCATGTCCGGGTGGTGGTTCTCGAGGCGCGTGCTCTGGCAGGGATGGATACAGGCGGGGGGCAAAAGGGGTGGGGGAAGGCAAGGCCGATGCAGTGGTGGGGCTGGAGTCTCTAGGGCAGTCTCCTCTCTGTCCCGTGGCCAGTGTCCTGGACTGCACGGCCCCACAGCTCAGAGCTGCTTTTGGAAACCAGGCCATGCCTGTAAGCGGCTGGCGCCTTGTCCCCCTTCAGCCCTGGGCTCAGTGGATGTGACCCCGGCCCCGAGCGAGCCCTGTCCCAGGCCACGCTACAGAGGGGGCACCGCAATGGTGTCTGGCCCTTGCCCCTGGCTCCACAAGATCCCGAGTCACACCGAGCCATACAGTTGCTCCTGTCTGACACGAGGTGTCAGGCCCTTCTTGTCCTGCGGGCACCTCCCCTGGCGCAGGCTGGGATGGAGCGTCCAGCTCTGGGGGAATGTGAGACGCTTGGCGCCGGGTGTAACTGAGACTGGTGCCTTGAGCTGCCAGAGACCTACTGGGCCAGGTAGCAAAGCTCCCCCCCACCCACACACACACACCTCTCTGCTGATGCCCCGCAGGCCCCTGCTAGCCCAGCCCAGGTTCCCCCCATTCTGCCAGTGCCCCTCAGTCCCAACCCACAGCCCCCTGCTATCCCAGCCCCGGCTGGGCTCCTCTCACACATCTCTGCCGGTGCCCCTGCAGCCTGACCCCCAGCTCCCTGCGGTCCCACCGAGTTCCTCCTGAACCCAATGGTTAATGCTGAAGACCCAAATTCCGGACCTGCTGTTCTGAAGTCTGATTTGGTGCAGCCAAGAGCCCTGGCCCCTGGTTCCCGCCATTCCCTGCAGGCACCTCCTGTATGGGGGGGGCGCTGGGCAGGCCCAGGCCTGGGGGCTCCCGGCTGCTCTGCTGATCTTTGCTGCCCGTTTGCAGATGTGCCATGTGAGCCACCCCAGCCGGACGAGCTCCCGGAGGACGAGAGCGTTTTCACCTACCTCTTCCAGCCTTCACCTCACACCCTGAGCCGCGTGGTGACATCCACCCAGCTCTGGTTCCACACAGGCCCTGACCTCGTGCCCCCTGGCTCGTCAGCTGCTGCCAACCGCTCCGCACGGGGGGCAGACGTGCTGATCCTGTCGGGGCAGGGCCGGGTCACCGTGGCAGCCACTGTGGTGCAGGCAGCCGAGCAGTGGACGGTCTTTCACTTCGCCGCGCCCTTCCTGCGCTATGTCTCCCAGAAGCTCTTTGTGCTGCTGGTGCGCTGCCCGGGCTGCCCCTGCACGGCCGATCCAGACAAGATGCCCTTCCTCATGGCCACCACCAAGCCCAAAGGGCCAGACAGAGCCCGCCGCTCCTCCGTGCCCTGGTCCCCGGCTGCCCTCAACCTGCTGCAGCGCCCGTCAGAGGACGCCGCTGCCCACGCTGACTGCCACCGGGCCGCCCTCAACATCTCCTTCGAGGAGCTGGGCTGGGACAAGTGGATCGTGCACCCCAGCAGCTTCGTCTTCCACTACTGCCACGGCAGCTGCTCCGATGCCCACACCCTGAGCCACACGCTGGGCTTCCGGCTGTGCTGTGCGGCCCTGCCCAGCACCATGCGCTCCCTGCGCGTTCGCACCACCTCCGACGGCGGCTACTCCTTCAAGTACGAGACTGTGCCCAACATCCTCACCCAGGACTGCGCCTGTATCTAGGGCCACCGGGAACCACGCAGCCCTGCGCTGGGCCCTGCTCTCCCAGAGCTCCCCCCGGCTCCCTGAGACGGGGGTGTCTGGCGGGGGGGGGGCAGGGGGCACCTGAGACGCCTGGATACCTGAGACGGGGGGGCACCTGAGACGCCTGGCTCC